AAGTTTGTCGCTTCATCATTTGTACAACAATGTATAATTATTGCCTAATTTATTTCGTAGTTATTCATATATGTCACATATTTTATTTTACAACATACAAAATTATTAAGTAAATTATTTTATGACAATGGATACATAATGCGACAAACTGTGCTTGTAGTAAAATTAATTTCACTACACAAAGAGTTTGTTACTTCACTGATGTGCAATTGTTGCCTAATTTAATTTAATTTATTTTTATTTATGTATATTGTAAATTCTATTTTAAATATATAATTTTCAATTTCTTGCGTCACAATGAAATTGTAACTACGATAAACATTAATTTGAAAATGTAGCCTACTTCATTAAAAGAAAAAGACTCATGACTTTCTAAAAAGAATGCTTCAATATACAATTATTAAAATATAAATAATTTCAAAATATATAAAGAATTCATATTATTTTCAAACAAATGGATATATAGACCAAAGTATTATTTACAATACCAAAACAAATACAAATAAATTATATGCTAGTAATTTAATGGTCGAACTACTTAGTGTGGTTCACCAAATCTAAAAAGAAGAAAATAAAACTAGGAAGACTAAAGAAATAACAAATAATTTACGGAACAACCAAATAACCTTCTTTACTTCAAGATATGCTTTCAACTTACCCTCAATCTATTATTTGGTTAAATGAGAATTCCTGTAAGGAAAATGTTCAATAGTTAAATGAGGATTCTTGTAAGGAAAAGTTTAACAACTTTAATCGAAGACGAATATGTAAAAAGTTGTAAAATATTAGTTAAAAGAGGAATATGTCAAATATCTCATATACAAGGTAGATGACGCAAAACATCAAAGTTCATTTCCTATAAGTCGTTAAGGCAAAGTTCAAATACATAAAATTAATAATGTGAATTGAAAATTGAAAATTTTACTCAACAAAATTATATGAATTCTACAAGAAAAAAATAACATATTGCTAGTAAAATCTAAAGCCCAGTTGTCAATTTCAAGAATAAATGATTTCTTTACCCTACGAAGCAAAAGCGTTTTTTTTTTTCTTTTGGTAAAACATTATTGCAAATATAACATAAATTACATTCAAGTGTACCATTAAATTCCGCAGTGTTTGTTCCACAACCATTTGGAATGAACTATTATCATGTCTTAGACACCAGTGTTTCTACTTCAATCAATTACTATACCAAAGAGCCATTACAATTTTAACGAGTGCTACTAATCCAACAATACTTCAGATATCTTCAACTAAAAGAAATTACTTAGCTCAATATCATAAATACCATATGAAAAATACGAACACAGATATTATAATAAAAAAAAGGTAGAAGAAACTAACCCAAGTTTCCTCACTGCTGTGTTTGGTGGTTGAACCATCAAACTGATAATGATATGAAGCAAACTCTTTTAAACCCAAGGAAAAACTCCTAACTTCTACTATTCAGGACAAATGCACATAGCTCTTATTAAAAGCACATAAGAAGAACTCATCACACAACACGTCCTTTATATAATGATAGAGAGTAGATGAGTGCTTCTGAATTCATCATAACCAGAGAAAAAACTGAAAGAAGGAGGAAGATGGAAGAAATCAGCCAGTTATTATTCGTAAACACAGCAGAATGTTTTTTCTTATATTTCTGGGTACAAAATACTGAGGACCACGTCCTCTATTTAAACACAAGGAATAGATTACATAAAAGGCAGATAGCATAAAATCTGTATCAATCATTNGATTGTTTCCCTTGTTACATAGTCGGTTTTAAAATCAAGCTAGTCGCTTATTTTGACCACTACATCACATTGAACATCTACAAAATAAAAAGGACACTAAAAATGATATGTACTTCTTGAGTCCCATGTGACAACAAACATATTCCAGGCCACAAGCCCACTGCTCATGCACAAATATATGTAACAGGTGTACAAGAAATTCTGCAAAGTTTACACTCTAATTCACTAAAATTTCATTTTCTTCAGAAAATTAGGAACTAGTATCATTCCCCTTTCTAGCCTCCTCAACTTCAGTTGTTGATTGTTTCGTTCACCTCTCTCACAAAGTTAATTTATTGCAATAACGGAATATAATCTTAAAAATCCTAGAAATATGACTGACAACTGGTTTAAGGGATAGAGATTGGGCGAAATCTTAAAAATAAAATTGGGCAACAATCTTAGGGCCAAAAAATTGGGCAAAAAATAAGTGAGATATAAGCTGCTACGTACCGGAGAAGAAGGTATATAGGCCAACGATTGGCATCAAATACAACGTGTCATGACTCTCACCACAGCCAATGCATTCTAGAATATTCTATGACTACTCTATAAATTCAGCACATGGGGAGGATGAAAAGCCAGTTGAAAATTTTTGCAAAAAACTG